CCTTTCTAAATGAAGTTCCCTACTTCCAGCTGTGACTAAAATATCATGTAACAGGCATACAACCCCGTCAATTTCTGATAACACAATTTCAATGGCCCGTTGAAAAACAGCCGGTGCGCTGGCTAAACCAAACACTAGACGCGTATATTTAAAAAGTCCGCGGTGCGTAATGTATGTTAACGCCTGTGACTCCTCATCCATAACACACTGATTATAGGCCATAGACAGGTCTAATTTTGGAGGAGTTCGTGTTTTTGTCCCGAGTAAGATGCGGGCAATCGGATTGTACCTAAACACGTAATACTTTTAGCGGTATATGACATCACCTAAGTACGCGCGCGTGATAATTGCACATCCTGAAAATTCGTTTTGTAGCACCGCTCTGAAATTACTGATACAGCAGATCCGCTATCTATTTCAAATTTAAAGGGCTCATCACTCAAATTAATTATTTCTACCATGGGTCCACCTCTCACCGATCGAATGTAAAAAAAGCTTACCGTCATCATCATCCTCACCCTTGTCACCGCCGTCCACTTCGATGTAGTTAACTTTCGAGCACATTCTACGCAAGTGGCCCTTGACGTGACTCTTTCGCCACACATATTTAGCGAATTTACATTCGGATGTTTTGTGATTTGTATACCCGCATAATTTGCACTTCACTTTTCCTACACTTCCACTGTTGCCGCTCTTCGAGATGCCGTACAGCTGGAGGGTGCGGGCGCTCCGCTGGCGCGCGCTGCTCCAGTTTTCTGCGAGCTCCAGGGCCTTGGCCATCGAGAGATCGGAAAGGTCTTGCGCGTAAAGCTTGTCCTTCTCCAGGCCCGGCGGCATTCCTACGATGAACTTGTCACGAAGCGTTTTTTCTATGTTTAAAAACCCACAATGCGCTGTCAACCCCCGTTATATAGCAGACCATTACGAGTGCGATTCACCTGCCATAAAAATTGTGACGCTTCCCGACCCCCACACGCTTCGGAGTGAAATGACTGTCTAGAAGTTGCAAAATGTCTTCATAGAGCACTAAATCAATGTCCTTGGGCAGTGCTAGGTCTGTTACAAGACTGTAGGTCCCTTCGGCGAGTGCGCTGAGCAAGATGGCCTTTTGTTTTTTTCCCGGTGGATCCCTTTCCTTGCCAATGTCGTTAGCCACAAAAAAATCTGTATAAGCCCTCCTTTGTAGGTTTTCCAGGTCTGCAGGTTATGGTCAAAACTATTCCAAATTCCAAAATGTGCACAGGAAATCTTAATTTTGTGTTTCACGCGAGAGGGTAAACCGCGAAATCGTCGCCAGTGTTAAGTATCGGACGTAGGGAAACGAGTAAAACACTTTCGAGCTGGCAACGCACTGTCTTTAATAAGAAACAGGTGCTCCGGGGGAGGCGCGGGATGTAGGGGCGCAGCCACGCGCACATAGATATTTATGCATACATAACAGAGGCCATCAACATTAGGTACTTACTATCCATCTATAAAACGATGGACAAAATGGTGTGACTCAAATAATGTTTCTTTACAATCTTCCACAACCACATCAAATTGCAAGGTTTCTAGCCCACGTAAACTTAGAAGAAAAATTTGCTTATAGCACCGAATCGAAGTGTCTCGCTATCATCTGCTAATAGAGTTATAGGAAAGTTTGCGCTGTTAGGTAAGTCGTTAATATATACTAAAAATAATAAGCAACTCAAATGCAAATGAGTTTCTTACAATCTAATTACACTCAGAACTTATCGTCATCATCAGTTCAATAAACGTCAAATAAAGCTGGTCACAAGTGCTATAAAGGACTGGGCTCCTTTAATAAACATCTTTTTATTTAACACACTGTCCTGTGACCCACATATGGGTCATTGCTATTGTCTGCAAATCGAACAGCAAAAGTGTTAAGGTGTTAAAAACAACCCTTTGTGTAGATCCTTCATGAGGCACTAGGAAATGACAGCCCATATTACACTTGATTGCTGAAGAGCTAAGTACCTTGGATCACTGAAGTCTTCCTCTAAGGTGATTGTTAATATTAATACTAAGATTCCTAGAGATCATGTGGCTAGAATATTTAATTTATGCTCATATGCAAAATACGCATTTAGAAGTTATAGATCCACCATCGAGAATTCACAATATTTAATTCCATTGCAACACCTGGCAAATTCTTGGAGAGGTTTACTTCAAGTGCGTTTGTGCGTTTCATCAATTGAGTGAAAAATGGCTGTTGATGTAATTATCACTGACAGTGTGAAGATAGAGGAAAGAAAAGAAGACAGAGAAGAGGCAATTACAGATGTCGTGTCTGTAAATATTCATCAACTCAAAGGACTACCCTTGATTTCTATATTTGTTAAGTAAGTGCCTGTTCATAAATATAAAAAATAAAGTATCAGTTTATAGATGGGTCAAAAGCCGTTTGCTGAAGCTATAGCTTTCAATTCTGGGATGTTTATGGTGCATAGACACAAACAACGTTTTACCCTTCACCTTCTTTGTCATAATATATTGGTTATAAGAGTCCACTGTTAGGCAAAGGCCTTTCATGTAGTAGAAAGCAATTGCCACTATCGCCGCGCTTGGAAGGCGCACTTTCGATCTTAGCAGTGGACTTGCACGTTAGACCCTGTTCCACGTAAAAATCCCGTACCTGATCTGCGTAAATTACGCCTAGCGTGAACGAGGTGGTTACACCACCATAGAATGTTGTGAGAGATTCTCTTATGCCGACACTGCACGGCATTCTCTATTTAATCTGATGTAAGTTTGGGTAAAAAATATCGATATATGGAAATATCGATGTTTTGTTTAAAAATTATATTTACTTTAGAGTATTCGTATCAATTTCGATATATTATCAGACAAAACAATTAAATAACAAAAGCAACTACAAAAGCATTCATTGCTGTTTTTTTCGTCGTCAAAACGTCAAAAAACAAAGTAATAAATTTTCAAAGAACGACGAGTGAATGCAGGAAATAGAGTGAATGGGGCTCTACACTCTATTGTGAAAAGTCAGAATGTGTCCAAAAAGGCACGTATGGCAATTCACAATGCTGTGTTAGTACCTACTTTAATGTATGGTAGTGAAAGTTGGGTGTGGCAGAAGAAGCATGAGAGTAGAATAAATGCTGTAGAAATGCGGTCATTAAGGAGTATGTTAGGGATGAAGCTGAATGACAGAGTGAGAAATTGTTTAATAAGAGAAGAGTGTGGTTTGCAAGATGATGTTGTGACCAGGATTAAGAAAGGAATGCTTCGGTGGTTTGGCCATGTAGAAAGAATGAATGAGGAAAGAGTGACAAAGCAAATCTATGTTGCAGAGGTGAACGGCATAGTCGGGAAGGGTCGCCCTAGGCGAAAGTTTATCGACCAAATTGGCGATATATTAAAAATGGGCCATATCCAAAGTACCTTTAACCGACGAGCGTGTATGCGTAGGTATATGGATGTGGAGGAAGCGAGAGAGGTGTGTCAGGATCGTGCCAAATGGAAGTCCATAATCTCTGCCTACCCCTCTGGGTGACAGGCGTGAGTGTTTATTATGTTTTATGTTAATAAATTTTGGCCCTCATCCTACTACATCATGCAAAACATGACGATATATCTACTGTTCGATACGGCAGCGAAGCTTCCATAGAAGCCGAGAAGCCAGGCTTGCCCTAACAAACTGGCTCAATCAACTAATAAAATAACTCGTAAATTGTTTCAAAGCGCTCCTCTGTTCTACACAGGTCGTGACCTCGTAGTCTTATTATGTAACGTCAACACTTGGCAGATTGCTTTACTGCACAATACCGCTGTCATAAAAAAGGAGTTGAGTTGAGCGATTAGTCGTCTCCCTCGCACGCGTGGGCTTTTTACTGGGCTTTCGAGAAGACGATCGCTCCTTTTCTAACCTGTGGCAAAATGTTCTATAATGAAATATAACTACGATTATTTATATAGCAATTAGTATGGAGCCAAAAGCCCGGATTTTGGTGTAAAGTTAGTCGAGCGCGGGGGCGTCCGGGCGATAGCGATACATTTGCAACTTCACATTTCAATGTTTACTCTGTGTGTTTATTTGTTTAGTTGAAGATTTATCTTTCTTTAAGGATTTTTAGTGAAAATGGAGGATAATAGTGTTCCTTGTCATCACAAGGAACACTATTATCCTCCATTTTCAATTCATCAATTGAAGTGTGTTAAAGTGCTAATCGACGAGGAAAAGGTAAAATATTTAAACTTTGTTGAGAAATATATATGCATATGTTTTCACCAACGACGTAATCAAATCTTTCCTTAAGAAAGAGACGATGCGATTTAGCATATAAATATATTTTTTTTAATTTTATACATTGTTTGTACTTTGTTCATGCCTTTCTTTTGTTCATGAAGTGTATTGTATGTAAATATCTTTTTCTTTTGCTCAAGCAAACCGAAACGGCTTTTTTCAAGTCATACAATCTATCGAGCAGTAGTATGCCTTTTGTGTGCTTTGTTAAATACGTCCTCGACAGCACTGAACATGAAACTGAAGACTGGAGACAGATCAATATTGGTGTATTTTTATAAAACTGCTAAAACAACAAAACCATATCTTGGGCTTGCCCTAAGTTGGAGCCCTAGCTTCGCCACTGGTTCGATACTGTTTAAAATATCGATATATTTTTTTCACTTGCCATCCCTAATCTGATGGATACACCGCCATCTATCGGAAGCCCTGAGATACTGTGATGGATACTTTACGCCGATATTCTTAACTAAATTCTTTTTAGTCTTGAATGTATTTAATAGAAGTATAAGAATATTTCAGATTGATTCCCTGGTTTAAGAAGAGGCAAATAGTGTAATTAAATGTGTAACATAACCATAAAACTTAAAAGTACACCAAAATATTTAAATCTAAAAACTACATGCAGAAACAAATTCTATTAATTATCATCATAATATATTATTAAATACATATCAGTGTTACATACTAAAATTCTTAAAATTAACCATCCATTGCTTGTCTATTGGTTTTTCTATAGTAAAATCTTATATTTAAAATGCCGAGGTACTCTCGACAGTACCAATCTCGCGTCGTAGCTGAGCGAGGCAAAGGTCCACGGCTCCGCTGCACTCCATTCGGCGCAGTATACGGAGTCCTCGTGTTGTTCGTATGACTGGAGTACACCATCCTCCAATCTGAAAAAAAAGTACACAAATGAGCTTAGAGTACAGAAGGTGATTACTGGTTACTACAGCCTGTGAAAACTTGTAACCAACTAAATCTAATGTAACCAACTAAACTTTAAACTAACCTTTACCTTAGAAGAAGAGATAGATAGAAGAAGAGCCTATCAAAAGTACATTTCTGAACATGGGCGAGGCCCATTGATTGCCTCAAAGAGGTATTTACTATTATATATTTGCCATAGTTGTCACACTTGACAAGGGGGTTGGATACCACAGTTTTTATTAATTAATTAATTTATTTACTCTTTATTGTACACCAAAATACAAAATAACGAGTACAGTTAAATCTAAAATAGAATAAGTACAACAGGCGGTCTTATCACTCTGAAAGTGATCTCTTCCAGACAACCTTAGTGTAGAGAACTGATGCAAATAATAGTTAAAAATAGAAGGGGGCGTACAAAATAAAAATAAAAAATATGAAAATAAATACAAATAAAAATAAGTGAAGATTATGTATAATATCATATAATAGATTAAATGAAAAGAGTACGAAAAAGGATAATAATTATAAGGATAGTAATTTATCTAATGGTGTTCTAAGTAATACGATTTAACGAGACTTTTGAAAGAATGAAAAGATTGAGCACGACGAATGTGGAGAGGTAAAGAGTTCCACAAACGCACATCAGTTACAGTAAAGGATTTCTTAAAAAAGGAGGAAGAGTTAATTAATATTAATTAAAGTTTTAAGTTAGACGCTGCTGCCCATCCCCTGATTTGTTTCCCTTAGGTACTGGATATTTTTACACCGCCTAAGCATCTTTACTTTAATGGTATACTAGCGAAACAAGTACGTGCTTGCTTGATTGATAAAAAAGTAAGGTAAAACTACAACACCACGTAGGCCCTGGTGGACCCCTCGACTTAAACTAAAAAAAAAATATCGGCATCTTTAACGCTGCTGCGCGACGCGGGTCTGGGATTTTACGTCTGGAGATGGTTGTACCGCGTAGAGAAGGTTTATAATTATGAAATAAAAAATAAAACTTACACTTGACTGAGCCGACGGCCATCTTCGTCCATATCGCATATGCTGGCTGCTGCTGTGAGCAGGGCTCGTGCGTCTGAACTACCCGTTAGCAGCAACTGTTCGTGGTACGTATTATATCTGACTGTCCACACCCTGGAAACGAAATCAACTAACAACTCACAAACATCCCGCTGCTAGGTAAAGGATTTCCAGGTCTCCCATTATGAGAGGGTCTGTGTAGTGGCGGTGTAAGAATATCCACTACCCCATATCATCCCGTGGGTAACCTTAGGGGGGACAGAGGGGAAACAAATCGCAGCAGCGGCTTCCTAATAACGACTAAAAATAAAAAATTAACTGCGGTTGCCAACCCGCTAGCCAAGCGGGTAAGCATGGCAAAAATCCCCCTATGAATCAATCTATTGGGGAGGCCTATGTTCAGCAGTGGACTTTAATAAGCTGTAGAACAGTAGAGCCATGCTGCCGCTATGTTATATTTAAAGCCCGAATGACTGCTCGATCAGGGAAGGACCACACTCTCACAGAATACCAGCGTAAAATGTGGACTGTGTGATCGTTTGTTGCTAAAGCATAATTTGTTATAGAATTATATTTTTTTTTCATATAAAAGGGTGACAAAAGAGCATACAGTTCACTTGTTGGAAAGTGATGGAAGACCCGTAGACACCTATGTCTATCCATGAAACTAAATATAGATTCGTTGTCAGGCTTCAGAAGTAAGATGAAGTGCGACATCTATACAAATAAATAACCTTGAAGTATCAGTTTGTAATGTCAAAATAACAGTTCTTTTTAATTCATATGAAAGTATATACGGTACTTGTACATAACAAAAACATTATTTTAAATTTTTGTCAGTGTTTTTCTGTCTGTCTGTCTGTTTGTTCCGGCTGGTTTGAAATGGTTTTACCGATTTTGACGGGACATTCACTGGTAGATAGCTAATGTTATAAGGAAAACTTAAGCTACTTTTATTTTAGAAAAAGAATTAAGGCATCGCGCATAAAAATTAAAACCCATGAAATCCAATCGTAATAAATTCACGCGGACGCGGTCGCGGGGAACAGCTAGTTATTAATAAAATAGGTCTCCACTTCTTGTTTCAAAACAGTAGCATTAGGATGCTATTGCTGTGGAAGGTGTGGTCCTTCGAGCCGATCCATTCGTGCTGCAACCATAATACAGCTGTAGCATAACCCTGCCACATTTATTACGTTGTTAACAGTTTCCCTGTTAAACCTAAGATGTTTTTTAAAGTATAGATACGTCATACTCGCTCTAAAATGGCAATACGAAAGTCAGGCAATTGCCCGACTCGCATTCAGTCGGGCACGCTCTCGCGACGCGGCCTATACCTTCGCTACAGCTTGTAAATCTTCTAGTTATTCGTGGCAAAATTACCTTCCTGTGTTTTTAAGTGGTGCACAAATTACACGGCAACTGTTAGAGAGTAGAAAAACGTCTCATTAATATTTTAAATATAGATGTTTTGTTCATAATTGGTTTTATTATTTCAACACTAACCGCTAGTGTAAACTTTGACGGTTGCTAGTGTATTCATTTTCCATATCGGTATGACACGCGCTCGCGCCAATGAGCGCTCGGCAGCAATCAATACACAACTAATGATGTATATTCATCTTTTTCTAACGATAGGTATGCCGTATCATTTGTCTCTTTTTGTTAGCAAAGTGTCATAATAAATAACTGTACGTAGATATAGTAACTACCTGCGCCACTTTAAAATACAATAATACTCGTATTAGTGTGTAACCTGTCTATCTTTTTTAATACGTCTTTGTGTTAAACAATCAAAATGTTCATTTATTATACATAGGAAAGGGAAAAAATAACAAAAATATTGTACACATGTTGATTTGTTTTACTAACCAGATTAAAATATTCTTTCATTTATAATAGTAACTTGTACTATTATCATACTCGTAATTTTTGTACAGAAAAAACTCAATGCTTGCTGCAATGCAAATGCAAATGATGCTTGCAATGATTCTCAAGTAGTAATCTTACCAATGTGAGTGATCTGTCCGACTGAAGATAGGTTCCTTTCCATTTCTGTAGTCCCAAATGTTTAGTGCGGCGTCATCGCCTGCACTAGCTAAATGGAATTGTCTGAAAAGAGTACATTTTTTCATTACAGCCTTTCATAAGTCCACTGCTGAACATAGGCCTCCCCCAAGGAATGCCACAAAGCACGGTCCTGAGCCACCTGCATCCATCGACTTCCTGCATGTCTTACCAGGTCGTCACTCTATCTTGTGGGGGGTCGCCCTACACTTCGCCTACCGGTACGAGCCTGCCACTCAAGAACCTTTCTTCCCCATCGGTTGTCGGTTCTTCGAGCTATATGGCCGGCCCACTGCCACTTCAGCTTACTAATCCGTTGGGCTATGTCGGTTACTCTGGTTCTACTGTGGATATACTCATTTCTAAGTTTATCACGCAGAGAAACCCCGAGTATAGTCCTCTCCATAGCTCGTTGAGCGACCTTGAGCTTCCTCATACGGCCAGCAGTGAAGGACCACGTCTCAAATCCGTAAGTCATCACTGGCAACACGCATTGGTTGTACAATTTCGTTTTAAGGTTTTGAGGCATGTCTGACGAGAAGATGTGTCGTAGTTTCCCGAACGCTGCCCAGCCGAGTTGAATCCGTCGATTGACCTCTCGGTCGAAGTTGGACTTACCTAGTCAGACTATTTGTCCCAGGTAAACATACTCGTCAACAACTTCGAGCTTAGTGCTCCCAATAACTACCGGCATAGGTGTGACATGGACATTAAACATAATCTTTGTTTTGTCCATGTTCATCTCAAGACCTATCCGTTGGGAGACACTATTGAGGTCATTGAGCATAGTGCTTAGGTCTTCCAGCGATTCTGCCATAAGGACTATATCGTCGGCAAATCGAAGGTGAGTGATGTACTCGCCATTGATGTTAATGCCGTATCCTTTCCAGTCCAGAAGCTTGAAAACGTCTTCCAATGCAGCGATGAAGAGTTTCAGGGATATAACGTCACCCTGTCTTACACCTCTCTGCAATTGGATAGGTTTCGTACTCTGGTTCTGTACTCGGATAGCCATCGTAGCTCTACTGTGCAAGTACTTCAGCACTTCGATATACCGACAGTCACCTTGGCACCGCTGAAGGGACTGCAGCACCACCCAAATTTCGACGGAATCAAAGGCTTTCTCATAGTCCACATACGCCAGGCATAGTGGCAAATTGTACTCCTCGGACTTCTGTACAACTTGCCGAAGGGTATGTATGTGATCTATGGTGCTAAAGCCCTTTCGGAAACCGGCTTGTTCGGGAGGCTGGAAGTCGTCAAGTCTGCGCGCGAGACGATTCGTAATGACTCTCGAAAACAGCACGTAGACGCGGCTCAGAAGGGAAATCGGTCTGTAGTTCTTCAAGAGAGCGTTGTCACCTTTCTTGAAGAACAAGACCACCGCACTTCTGCTCCACGCCTCCGGTGTAATGCCACCACGGAGGACGGAATTAAAGAGCCTCTGAAGGACTTCCAGTACCGGTTTTCCACCCGCTTTCAGAAGCTCCGCTATAATTCCATCCTCGCCTGGGGCCTTGCCGTTTTTAAGATGCTGGAGAGCCATTCTCTTTTCGCTCAGACTGACGTCCAGGATATCTTCGGAATAGTGTCGAATAAGACTAGCTCTTGGATCGTTACTCACACTTGCGTGTGGCTCCAACGATGACGTGTACAGCTATCCATAGAACCTCTCAATCTCACTCAAAATCTCAGGTGCCCCGGAAAGGATGCTGCCACACTCGGTCTTCAGCTTTGACAGTTGGCTCTTTCTGGCAGACAGATCTCTGGCAAAGACTCCACCTTGGTTCCGCTCGATCGCTTCTTCAATACAAGCTGTATTGAAGTTGCGTAAGTCCCGCCGCATGCATTTGGATATCTGTCTGTTCAGTTGCCTGTATGCTGTCAAATCTGTTGAAGAATGTAGCTTCATCTCCCGTCTAACTGCCATGAGATTAAGAGTGTGATCGGAGAGTTTTTGTGTTCTTCTGCGGCGGGTCTTGCAGAACTTAGCTCCGACCGCATGGACAGTTTCCACGAGCTTGTCATTCATATCGTCCACTTCATTGCAGTCTTCTAGGCACTGAAAACGGTTTTGTAACTCGAGCTGAAAGGTTTCGGGACTTTGGTACAGAGCACGAGGGGGACGGAGCGTTGACTTCATTAGACGAGACCTCTCCAACTTAACGTTTAGGTTCAGTGTGCCTCTAACCATTCGGTGATCGCTACCAGTTTTCACCCGCGATCACGGAGACATCACTGAACAGTTGTCGTCTGGTCGTCATAATGAAGTCAATCTCATTTTTTGTCGAACCTTTGGGGCTCGAACAGGTCCACTTCCTGTGGGGCCACATCTGGAAGAAAGAGTACATAACATATTATATTGCGGACTCTCTCAAGTTAACTCATTTAGCCCAACTTTTTACGTTTACACAGACGGCAGTACTAATGAATTTCAGTAAAATATATCTGCTCACATTGAAATATAAACTTGTACTCCCATGTCTTTTCGCATGTTATTCATTTTATTATATTTTATCAAATATTATATCAAAATTTCTACAGGCCTATTTAGTAACTGACAGAGTAAGTTTAGTGGCAGATGATCTTAAGTGTCACAGTACTCTTAGTGACGGCTGACGGCGCATCGCATATATGGAGTCCTCAGCGCACGACAAAATAGTCGACAAGTTTGAACTTCTCTGGAGTGCGAGCTGGCGCGTTACGTACATGTTCTGGCACATTGTGTCCTGGGTGTCTGGTTGTTTTAAACTTGATAGTGTGTATATTCAAAAAAAATAATATATGAGAAAATTTTCGTGAAGAAGATAAATGTTTGTACGGTAGTGAAAAAAGAAAAGTCTGCTTTGAATATTTTGGGACCCTGAATATAAAAACGTGAGAAAGAAATTAAACAAATGTATCAAGGTTATAATGATTAATAAAAATAATGTAGTAAAAGTCATGGGCAATATAAAAAAATAATGTTATTTTATTTATTAAATTTATGTCTATTTTATGTCACAGCACTGTACGAGTGTACGTCGACGCTCTCTAGCGTGCACTAAAGAGTAAGGACTGTCTCAAAACACTTATAAGTGAGACTTGTCAAACTTGTTGAAAGACCCTTATGCTTATATCGTAATTTGCCTTTTAAATAAGTTTACACTTTACAATAAGTTACACTTTACAATGGCTACGTGCCCAGGATATAAAGATACTTGTTTACTACAACTAACCTATTGGGGTTAAAGTCCAAGTCCCTAGCAAGCTGCCTATGAGCATTGTCTATACTCCAGGCTGGCTTGCTGCAGTCAGTTCTCGTATCATAGCACTTTATATGCATGTCTTGCAGAACCGCAAACTGTAAATCAAATATTATTTCTGTATTACACAATATACAGTTCTAATGTGGAATCTCATCTGGTGGATGCTCTTCTAAATAGTCATGTCAAAGTCTAATGTGTCATGTAAAATAATCTTTTTAATTATAAATTGTGTAATCATGCTACTTCTAAACAACTTGACTGATTGGAGTCATAAACAATATATTTGTTTTATCGAGATAATACAGATCAGATCCGATTGGTAGCGCAGAAGACCAAAATATCTCCCATTCACAATATATGTTAATTAAATGCCAAAAAAAAACCAAAACACGTAGACCGTAGACCATGGCGCTCCGGTTGCTTTATTGAAAACAATTTTGTTTACACTCTAAAACGATCGGAGTGAAACTCATCGCGTCACTTACCGAAAGAACAGAATGTCTGCTAGGCTAGCTTGTATATTGAAACAAAAGAAAGAGAAGAAAAATTTTAATCTTCTACTTTATAATATAAATCACGAAACTTTCCCTAACTAAACGAATTATTCCGTCATGCTTGTCGGCAAACGATTCACCTCCATGTCAAATTTACATGGTAGAGCCACTCTGCAGTGTATTAATGAGTCGGCTTGACTAGAAAAGGACAGAATATCAGCTTAAAATAGTAGCATGATGATGTTGTGTTTCGTATGGCGAGTGTTGAGGCTTTCTTTCAAAGATAGTTTAAAGATAAACGATTTGGTGGTAGTCAAGGAGGACAACCTTCCTCCGCTGAAATGTGGAAGCTGGGAAGAGTTGTTGCAATTCACCCAGGAGCCGATAGCATTGTTCGAGTTGCAGACATCAGAACTTCTACTGGGATTATGAAGATGGCATTTAACGGGATTTGCTTGAAAGAAGGCGCAGGCGCCTCAACATGCCCGAGGGCATGTTGAGGCGCCTGCGCCTTCTTTCTGAGCAAGGAGTTAAACAACATACTCGTAGTAATTACGTCAGTACATAACGTTAATTTTACACAGGTTCCCTATTCCTTGCAATATTTTATTACCCTCTCAACTGCTGTAAGATCAATACAATCGTTCAAGACCACATTCTAGTTGCACTATTTTAAAATTTCCTTATACTCCCGAACAGCAAGTGTATGAAAGGGGAGACCTTTTCCTAATGAGACATTCTATCTTATTACTCAGGGCTGACAACGCATCTGCATTTTTATTCTTAACTAGAGATAGATTAGATGTAGGTGTCTGTGGGACTTAGCATTCACTTACTATTAGCAGGTCTGTCTCACACAGCGCTTTAAGCATAAAAATATACCTACACTGCGCGGCCGCCTACGAGTGACTAGTTCCGTGAGGTTGTCACGTGCGCGCTCGAGCTGACGCGCGCCTTACGTTAACAAAATAGTATTTTTTTCTTATAAGTATTTAGGCACTTTTGATATTTATTTTTGAGTTTTTATTCAAGTATGGCCTCTCAAAAAGCCAAAAGGTACTGCAGAGCATACGGGTGCTTAAATAACAATAGGAATGTTGACTTTCATTCTTTACTGTTCCTAAGGATACTGAAAGGTAACATATTTTTTGTAGGTAGATATAGATAATTAGGTACCTAGTTACTGACGCCATAGTTAGTTACAGTTTTATTATTTGATCAGCGACCCGACCACAGCTTCCCCCCAGTTTTCGATTTTTTCGCGTATAATGCCAATGACCTTAAAAATATTCAGTGTAAGTAAACCTTCCAGTACGAGTGACTGCCTACTAATGCAAGATCAGCACATACTGGTTTTTAGTTTAAAATTTGGTCGATAAAAGAGATTGAAAATAGCAGCACTTCTCTTTGCCACTCTTTCATTAATAATGCCGTCGCGTTTTACATGTTCTTAAATAGAATATGTGACATACGACAGCAAAAACTGTGAAACTGATAAGTGACGGCTCCGTGGCGCAGTGGCTTTGCCACGGGTTCGAATCTCGCATGGAACAAATATTTGTATAAGTAATTGTTCTGGGTCTGGATGTTTGTCCTTGTGGAATCTATGTATGTAAACTGTCCCCGCGATACAGGAGAAAATCTTAGTGTGGAGTTAACATTTTTTAAAAAGAGATGAAGAGAGACAAGTAATGAAATTAAACATTTTGTACAACCGACGTCAATATTAATACTCATTATTAAGGATAACTCCAAAACTACTGGTCAGATCTAAATCAAATATATATTCAATTTGTTTTCTCACAACACCTAACCCTACAGTAGGTGCGGCCCTAACAAAGGCGCGTAACGGGCTAAGTGATACAGACTCTCGCACGCGGACGTAAGGTGCATTTTGATTTAATACGCGCCCCGCATTAGTTTTTTTCGACGAATTAATCGGTAGGTTAATTTGACGAAGATCGTGCCTGAGACGTGCAAAGTATTATTAACATCAGCGACGTTGTAACTACGTTTAAAGTCGCAAGTTTGCTATCAGATAGTGATCCTTCTGTTCTTGTACTATTAATTATTCTGTGCTATCAGGTGGAATGTGTGCTCGTTTCTCACGCTTACTTCAATATTCTATAAACGAATGTAAAGGCACTAGTTAGGAGATATGTGCATATGCGATGATTGCTCTATTTCAATAATCAAAAAGCACCAAACTATTTTGTATGACTAATTGATATTATGTATATGTGAATTGAACTATCTATAGATGAAAAATGTATCTTTTGTTGCAATAAATTAAAAATTTCGCTGTTATGATTTACCTGACAATGTCCCTGATGTGGGTTCCACTTTCCTCCTGTAAACTTTAACCTGGACTTGCCCTCAGGAGAGGCGGAAGCTAGTGCAGCCCCTGTGTTTACGTCGTGAACAATCACACTGTTTTCGTACACAATCCCGATACGGTTCACGTCAGTTGGATGCCATTCAGCACATCGGATCTCTTCTTCAGGTTTCTAATTGGAAGCAATATTTTAATGATTTTTTCACATAAAGCAAAATGAGACCATTGAAAACTTAGTAATCACCGTCATCATCATCATTACAGCCTATCAAAGTCTACTGCTGAACATGAGCCTCCCTTAGATTGCCTTATAAGTAGGATGTTTGCATTCTTGCCAAACTAGGCAGACAACTTGGCAACTGCAGTTTTTCATTCTATTTATTAGGAAGACACCACTGCCCATACCCTGATTTGTTTCCCTCGGTTGCATATTACGGCACCCACGAGATGATATGGGTTAGTGGATATTCTTACACCCCACTACACTAATATCTTGACATAATAATTAATTGTATATTTTTGTAATGGTGCTTCAAATTGAAATATTCACAACCCCACACAGCAATGAAAAACAATTATCTACCCATTTTACCTATCAAAACTATTAAAGTATTGGGTTAAGTTCATATTATAACCATGCCTTACCAAATTTCCATTGTCTATGTAAAAATTATTTAAAAAACAATTCTAATAGTTCTCTCTTATTTGTTTTACTAATTTTGGCATGAAACACTATTAAACAAAATCGATTAGTAGAGAATTAAATGAGGTACATTTTATTCTATTAAAACTATACTTCTGTAAAAGATAGTTTTTTTTTTATTATAAGAATAAAGTATTTTCTCATACCTCGGGTGAAATAGTTTTTAGGTGCTCCATTTCCTCTGCATTTCTACCTTGTATTGCACTTAAGTCATCTAAATCTTTAGGTATAACCTGTTTAAATTACAAAGAATTGATTAGAGATATCAAAACAAAAATAACTGAATTCAAAATAATAATAAAATAATATTACCTCAACAGTAGGCAGTTTAAAAATAGAAACACCCATGGTGCATTGAGAAGTTTCAGGATCATAAGAATTGTGAGTTGTGAGTAGGGTTGCCACATCATGCGGAGAGCAGCGGAGATGCCATATCTCACCAATGTCATGTTTAAAGACCTGAGAATCACTGTGTTTTATATATTTGATAAAAGTAAAGTAAAGTTGCAGCCTATTTATGTCCCACTGTTGGACACAGGCCTCCTCACATTTCTGAGAGGGTTTTAGGGCAAGGAAATGTCCGTGCAGCACTGCCCCAATGCATGTTGGCGAACTTCACATCTTTGAAATATTTTTTTTCTTATTTCTCAGACATGTAGGTTTGCTCACGATGTTTTCCTTTCCCACCAACAGTGGTAAATCAGCACTTAAAATTGGAATTAACAATTTCATTAGTGCCGGTGGAGATCGAACCCGGGTTGCTCGTGTACTGAGAATCTTACAGCGAGCGCTAACCATCTGAGTTACCATGGCTTTGATATTAGTAATTATAATTAAAAAAAAACACAAATAAATTTATATACACATTCAATTCTAATACAAAATTTTATTTGAGTTATTATATACAGCATCGTATTGTGTTGGCTGTCTCATTGGTCTAGGGGTCGGAAATGCAACTGCCAGTCATGAAGTCAGAGGTTAGAACACGGGTAGGACAAAAATCGGTTATTTGGGGTTTTCTGTTAAGAAATTCTTAATAGCTGCCCAGAGTGGGGTAGTTGGCGATGTTTCTCGGAAAGCATGTAATGTTGTTGGTATAGCACCTAATCTCTCTCCAGATATGTCAGATAGCCTTCCCATCAGACATAAGAGTGAGTGAATAGAGAATACACTGGTTTTTGTTCCCACACTCATGCATTAATATCCTGTACTGCACACTTAATAATAAAAAGTAATTAGTTGGTTATGAATGTTACATTCCATTATTTAAATACCTTAGTATGCAATGCCCCAGTGTCTTCTTCAAGTTCAACAACATGCACTTGATTGGAATGTGGTTTTAAGCTCTGTGTGCCAATAAGAAAGCGAATGGCATCACTTTCATATTGTGGTGATAAAGCTCTGGTCTGAAAAATATAGGAAATTTTACATATAATACACAATAGAACTGGTTTAATTTTGTGTTAGTTTCTTTAATTTTGTAATGTGCGATAAAAATATGATTTTGTTTTTGAAAAATACCATTCAATTTAATATAATTAAACTAAGTCTGGTGGCAAATAACATTTTTAAGATTATGACTTTAACATGTCCAGTTAACATTATTAAATCTCTGGAAATTCTAGAAAATTGGAATAGTCATTGTTGACTATGAAAAAAAAAATATTCAAATTTTAATTATTGAAATAATTGAATACAACTTTAGTATGAAATTAATCTGATCTAAGTTACCTACTTATTTTTTTGTTGGATTACCTGATGTTCTAAGCCATAAATAATTGAGTTGCCTTCATCCATTATTAAATATTTTTAACAAAATTTAGTAAAAGAATAATAAACACATAAATGGGACAGTTATTGAACTCTAGTATGGTTATGTACCATAAAAAATGTTTGCAAACTATTGAATTCTCGGATTTTTGAATTTGAGGATTGATATTTATTTATTATTTATTTTTGATTTGATTCAAAGAGTACCAAATATATAATACGTTTATTAATTTATTTTGATTTTTGACATGACATTTTGAACAATTGATTTGACGTAAATTATGTCACGTAGGCATGGGCAAAAAATATCGATGTATCGAAACATCGATATTTTTAAATAAAAATATCGATATATATCGCCGATATTTAAAACGCGTTATTTCGATATATCAATATTTATTTACGAGTATCGAATTCGTATCAATTTCGCTATATTTTAAGCGTATTAATGACAAAACATGTAACAACAAAAGGAGGTGGAAAAGTATTCATGTGTGGTTGGTTGTTGATTTTTTTTCGTCGTCCAACACGCAGTAATATAAAATTTTGCACCTTATCTTTACATCATGCAAATTATGACGATATATCGATATATCAATATTTATCACGCGATACATTTACTGTTTAAAAATATCGATTCGCTATATATCGATATATTTTTCCCTTGTCCATCCCTAATGACACTATATTCAGGGCTGCCAGTAAAATATTATAGTTTAGTTATATTTTATTATTTTTAATTATTTATTTGGCCATGTGGCTAACACCTAACAGAACGTATTCCAAAGCGCTAACGCAACGCAAGTTCTTAATTTGTCAAGCAAAATAAAGTAATAAATTATAAATTATACCAAAAAAAGATCTCTCTCAATCACTCGAGCCTAAACACAAACTTAACAATAAGATTTATCTATCTGTCAGAATGTTAAAAATTATTGTAGTAGCACGTAGTGATTTAATACTCTTCAGTAAATAGAATTTGAAATTGGTAAACATTAATAAGATCTAAACCAGCTGGTCTACAAAGATATCGAGCCTAATCCCGTCGACACCGTCAGAATCGAGTTCTGGTTTAATCGAGTTTAGCGCACGATCGAATAGTAGCTCAGATTGAATTTTTGATCAGATCCAGGGGCGTTGCTACCGCCGTATCAGCCGTAGCAATGATACGGGGCCCCCGGGCTACAGAGGCCCCGAACATGTGTAAGCAAAAATTCTAAGGACTTCTATGGGACAGGATGTTGGTTTGAATTGTTTGGCTAGCTTAGTTCCTAGGAGTATTAATTGTAAGTAATAACTTATAATCAATATATAATTATTTTAATTCAATGCGAGAGTTTTTGCTCCTTTTGTGAAAAATCTTTACCCTTTATTTGGGCCTCCCGACAAATTTTGATACAGAGCCCCCTCTACGGCACGCTACCCCACTGAGAAATATTTAGCTGTCCACCCCTAGATAGCGCTCTAATTGCGAGCGACGAGAATGCTTTATCTCGTTAACTTTGTCATAATAAGTGATAAAAATATTTAATAAGTGAGTTTTTAATATATTAAAAATAAAATTATTCTCGGGATGAAAAATGTCTAACGGCGCTCATAACACTTGATCGTTTTAGCTTCAAAACAACGTCAGTTTGAATCGAAAACTGAATCGAATTAAAAATCAACTTAGGGAGTAAGCTTGTAGTCTAGATGGACCCTTTTGATCACTAAAATTTTGACATTGTGAAGCTTACGTTTAGACTCGCAATTAGCCCTGAAAACTGGCCTTAGACATCCTTAATAAATACCTACGTATTCTATTCGCATTGTTGTATTCAATTTAGCCCAAAACTATACTTCTCTAATCAAATATATTTTACTTGATATGAAGATATGGATGTACATTGGTGATTAGCGACTATATTTTAGGTTAAGAGTGTTAAATTATTACCTAAATAAATGTAATAAAATCTTACGAAATTGATATTTTCTTTCCTTACATTTGCCAACCCTAAGTTACCTTAGTAACTTAGCCTATACAGTCCAATGCTAGAAAGAAAATACTTTTGGTTTTTTAGTTAGGCAACTTGACTTGAAAATTTGGCTACAGCGTTTAAAGAAGCAGAATCGTATACCGTAAGGAAAAAGTGTTTCTTTGAACTATAAATAACTGTTCGGGATCTGGATGTCCTCTATGAGTAAATTATTAATATTAAACGACTTCACGACACAGGAGAAATTTAGGAAATAAAATGAAATTCTGACAAGCTTTTGATGCGTGGATTTTCAGTTGTAACAATTTATATATTATTTTGGTTTAGTATAGGTAAGAGTATAAACCTGTCCGAATAAATTAGTCCTGAGACATTAGTGGCTGTGTAAAGTTCATCAACATGCACTGTCACAGCGTGGTGAAGTCTTCTCAATTCCTTCCTTAATATCATTATTATAGCTCCTTTCAACTCTACTGCTGAATATAGGAAGTAAATCACAAAACACGGTTCTGAAACAACTACATCTAACTCTGCTGAAAATGCTGCATCTATTTCCATTACCTATCCTATAACTAGGCCTCTTACGTGTGCCCTGCAGTGGGCGTTCAAAAGATGTCGCTTTTCTTTTTAAATTTTATTACTTATTTCTTAAGACTTGAGAAATACGTTATAAGATTACCACAGAATAAATATTAGTACTATGACATGGCATTACATAGTTTGATTTGTACAAAACCTAAAACTATAGAATGGTCAAGTCGAATCTTAAGTGCATGTATATAACTATATTATTTGTACTTTAAAAAATGTTACTCTAGCACTTGTTTTGTCCCAATTATCGCGAGTACGATACGGAACGGACAAACATCCAGACCATTTATTTATAGACCTTGTTTCGTGCAGAATTTGAACCTGCAACCCACTGCGCCGCAACATTAGATTAGCCACTGCACCACCAGTTATTTAAAACATGTTATGCGGAGTAAAATTCACAGAGGGAGACGACAAAGCTGCTAAAGAGTATTGGAAAGAAATATACAAAATGTAAAAAAAAAATGCCAAAGAATAACAGTTAAACTATTAGAAACAAAACAAAGCTAACAAAAGTTCAGGCATTCTCACAAAAATGGCTTTGGACGGATAATAATAAGTCGGGGAAAAGTTCCTTCGTATTTTGTTTGTATAAAATTGAAGAAAAATCTCTTTGTTTGTAATGTTTGTATCTGGCTGGTTTTAATATCAATAAATATAGAATATTAAGAAAAATAAAAATAAAGATAAAAAAAACACTCCCGCCATTTTCAATTGTATTTCTGTCCGCCAAAATGAGTGAATGTAACGAAATTCGATATTTTCTAAAGTTTTATTACGAAAAAGGCAAAATTGTGTGACTTTATGGACCTAATGCAGTGTCAGTAAGAGTAGCACAAAATTGGTTCAAGCGTTTTCAGTCCGGCAATTTTAATGTCAAAGATGCAGCTCGCCCTGGTTGCTCTCATACGGAAAAAGTCGGTACGATTAGTAGTTAAGACATAGCCGAGGAATTAAGTTTTGACTATAAAACAGTTTTGACACATTTGGAAAAAGTCTGGCTATACAAAAAATCTTAATATTTGGGATATTTTCGAGCTCACCGAAAGAAACTTAATGAATCGTGTACTCCTTTGCGATTCTATATTGAGATGTAATGTAACCGAACCATTTTTGAAAGATTGATCACTGACGATGAAAAGTGGATCAGCTACGACAAGAACAGGGTAGTCAAGCTCCACAGACTGTAGCGAAACACGGATTAACACGCAATAAGGTGATGCTGTGTGTATGGTGGCATTGGAAATAAGCGAATAGTTTATTATGAGCTTTTACCGCCGGGCCAAACCATCGATTCGGATCTCCACTACCAACAACTAATGCGACAAACGAACTTACTGTCTACCTGACAGTAAGTGACAACTACAGTCCATGAACACCTGAAACCACGGATGTAATGTCGCACAGCCTCTAATCGTATTGGCTCTCTTTAACTTTCACACAGCACAACGCACGTTCGGCGGCAGAAATAGTTAAAAGGGTGGTCCTATCCTATCCAGATGGACTCCTAGAAAAGAATCTGTATAAATACACTGTGTAGTTCAAATAACTACACAGTGTATACAGATTGAATTAATGGCAGTCGACGCTTTGAATAAGATAATTCTAATTAAAATTTAAAAAAAAAGCAGTAACGTAAAGTGCTTTCGGCAGTTATCAATAAAGTAAAATATGTTTTTACATATGCCGATCATACACTTTTTAAAGTATGAGATATATAAAATATAGCTCGATGCTGCTACCTATGAGGAAGAAAGGTTCTCGATAAGTACCTACTCGATTATATTTATTATATTTTATTATTCGTACCGGTAAGCGAAGTGTAAGGCAGCCCCTTACTACATTGAATGACGAACTAGTGAGAGATGCAGAAAGTTGATATGTGTTTTGTGCCATTTCTCGGGGGAACAGATGTCCTTCTTATGCCATTATAATGCTAAAAATATTGTTTTTATTAGTTCCAGTCCGGATTAAATCTTTTTGAGCCTAGGCAGAAGAGGCCATTAACTTTCTATCTATATTTTCTTTTTAGTTATTTTAAAGTATTCTCGCAGTTTTCCTAAAAATCAGACGATGGATTCTCTTACGCCAGCACCACAAGGTATCACCACAGAGCACTATCTATTAGCTTATTGGCTTATTTTGCATATTCGTATAATCACATACTCGTAATAAAAATTTATATTATTTTTTAATATATATATACATATAGAAAAATAATATAAATTATGAAATATTAAATAATAATATATATAGTAAATAATATAATAAACATTACATATATAATATTTAAAATAACTAAAAATAAAAATAAAAATCGACGGTCAAATGCAGTTTTCCTTAAGATAATGTTGTCGAACCGGTCTCATAAACGCATGCTTTTTCGGTGCTTTTCTTATATCAACGGGCAGGACCAATACTATGCTGAGGTATATGAATCTTAAGGACGTTAGTGGAACG